TAGGTTACTCCTTTGTCCTTTGTCTCACCATTTAGTTTTTTTTCTTTCCATTCCCAAGTTAAGATCAACATATTTACAATACCCAGGGCATCAGATTAAAATACAGTGTCTTCAGGCAATAAACCATAGGTGGGGAAAACACAAAAGGGTAAAAACAAACCACGTAGTATATTAGGAACAACAAAACGTTAAATCAACATTTGTTGATTTAACTTTGAATCACCTTATAGAGTCTTATGTACATAGATATTGAGCAATTCTGCTCAACTATTAATATTATCCTTGATGTACACAATAGTGTTTCCCTATTACCCAGTAATCCCACTTCTGGGCATTTACCCTAGTGACCACAAACAAGGCCACACTAAAGCTACCAGCCCAATTATGTTTTAATACAGTAGTATTTACCCTAGTTAAGATATGGAATCAACCCAGATGCCCCTCAGTAGATGAATGGATCAAGAAAGTGAAAAACACACACAAACACACACACACACACACACACACACACACACACACACACACACACACCAGAGAGGTATACGTACATGCAATACTATGTTTTCATCAGAAAGAAAGGTACCACCTCATTTTTAAGGAAATGGAAGATCTTGGAAAAAAAATCATATTAAGTGAAGTAAACTAGACAAAGAAACATAGGTCCCATGGTTTCCTTTATTTGCAATAATTAGTTTACACCAAGGATAATATCATGTATTTTAATTTGACATTTTGTTCTATATTGAGCATGCAACATTATTGGCATATTGTTTGTTATTATTTCTGCAAACAGGCAGGTATATTTAAAGAATAATGTTCATCTTATCAATTACTGAAGGAAGCACAACAAAAGGAGTAACCCCTACTCAGAAGAACAACTCCTACTTACTTAGCTTCATTCCTTTTTTTTATTGTGAAAATAATGTACAGAGGGGTTACAATTACATGGGCAAAATAATGAGTACATTTCTTTCAAGCATTGTAGCCTCGTCCTTTTTTTCCCTTTTCTATCTCTTCCCATCCTCCCCCCGCCCCCCAAGCATCCCTGCTTCCCCACCACACCAAAATTGTAAAGTTCGTTTTCGACATAACGATTTGTACATTTCATTGTTGCAATGGGTCCAACTGTATCCCTATTTAAACGATTTGTTTTTCCCCTTCCCCTCCACAAATTATACCCACATCAAATACAGTGAAAGCAGGGGTTATACTGTGTGAGAGGGACATACAAAGCAACAAATAAATAGTTTTAAAAATGTGTTAGAAACAATCGCATGAAAGAAAAAAAATGAATAAATATTTTAGGGTTTATTTCCCTAACACCACCTTATCTGACCTTTTCTGCTTGACTCAGACATATACTAGATATTGTAAATAGGAGAAACCATGTAAGGCCAGTCTTGTCCCCTGTATCCTCATATTGTACATTACAACTCTATACCGATTCATCCTATATATGTACTATCTTCTACATTGTGACCTAAATGCAGCAATTCCACATTGCTTTACTTTTTAAAAATTTCTCTCTTAATATTTGATGTTGATGTGTGTCTGTGTGTGTGTGTGTGTGTGTGTGTGTGTGTGTGTGTGTGTGTGTGTGTGTTTACAAAGATCAGAAGACAATATTTTTCTTCATTTAGAATACATCTTTCAGTTCATTGTAAGTTGTGGCTAATGGGAGAAGTCTCTTGCTATTTTAAGGATGAAACAGAAAAAGGTATTTGTGCATGAACCACAGTTGCTTTATTAGTCTGTAGTTGACACTGAACTTCGATTTATATCTTGGCTGTTGTTGTGAATGATAAGTACAATGGACTGCAGATATATTTGAGTTACTCATAGAGAAATAATCACATGATTGGTGGGGCAGATGATATTTCAACATTGGAGTTCTTTAGAAAGCTGCGTATTACTTTCTACAAGGAGAATACTAACCTGCATTTTGTTGAAGAGTGTAGAAAATTTCCTTTTCTCCACACTTTCAGCATTATTACCTTTGTTAAAAGGTAATAAAGGGCAGGTTTTTATTATCTTCAGTACTCCAGACTGGCCTTAGACTTAAATCCAACCTCCTAAGTGCTTGGAATTAAAAGCCTTTACCACCACACCCAATTCCTTTCATTTTTTTGATAAAAGTTACAATAATTATGAAGTAGTATCATAGTAATTTTGAGTTACATTTCTCTAATGACTTCTGCTCAAAAAGAATTAAACCAGCATAGAAGTGGTATTAAAGAACTTTGTAAACCCACTGGAAATTTTCAGGGCTTTAAGGAGAACTTGTCGATTCAGAACTTTTGTCCACTTTTAATCAAGTTTCTTGTTAATCTCATCTTCAATCTTTCTATACAAAATCAATAATTAATTCAAGGTATTAGAAAGGAACAATATTAAGCAACTCCTAACATTTTCAATTTTAAATAACATGATATTGCTTAATGATTTTCTGTTTATGCTTGAGACTATATAACTCACTTTAGTCAGACCTTTTACAAGGCTGTATGCATTTTATTTATTTCACATTGATTGTTCTTTCCAAAGACTACGTGTCTAATTTCCTTGTTTTCTTTCAGTCTCAAGTAGTTCAGATGTCAAATGAATAATAAATGGACAGAAGCAAACAAAAAATAATATATTTCCCCTCATCTGATGATGCCTTTACAAGAATGAGGAAAGAGTTCATCCATGTCCTATGATAGGACATCAAAAAGGGAATCCATTCTTCTAGGTCTTTCTTAACTTTGCAATGTAACTTAAATGATGTAAAACACAATATAATGCTCAGATACTTTTATGTTTTATCAGTTTTGAACATTTTCATATGGACTTCACCTCAGTCTACAACATTCCTTCCTTATTTTGTCCTGATATTTTTACACTATCAAGACATAAGATAACAAGTTTGATTTACAGCATGAGAAATAATCCACCTGGCTTCCTTGGAAAAAGAGCATGATCAATAGATAACATTACTTCTGTTTGCTCACTATATGCAATGGTTTCTGTAATACTTATTGCATTCTTTTTAATATTTAAAAAAAAACTGCTGGCTAAACTCAAAACTCATTCATGGAGGTTTTTGTTAAGTATTTCACAAGTTTTATTTTCCTTAATTCTTAAGATAACATTTTCTATAATGCTAATGTTATTACCATTTTAGTGTTGGGAAAAATTGTAAGTAAAGGCAGTAAGTGCATGGCCCAAACACACACTGTGAGGAAGGAAATGAGTCAGTTTCCAAAAGTCTTTCAGCAATACACAAAAGGTAGGTAAAATCTCTCCATTCTCTTACACTCTATTCAATGTTCATATTGTCCAAGAAATAATACCATAGCAATTATTGCCTAAGGTGATTGTTTTCTGTTACATTTTGTCTTCAACACAGACAGTGTTGGTGACATTGGGTTATCATGCACAGAGCTGAGCTTATAAAAGAGACAAATATATTCTGTCCCATTTTTCCAGGATCCATTTTACAAAGTACTAAACTTTAAATATCATCACTTAATTTCTTAAGAATCCAAAAAACGAAAAAAAATCACAAATAATAACTCCAAAATGCTTTAAAAGGAGGGGATGATAAAAGAGGCCCCCGTGAAATAAACTTTCTTCTACTTTTAAAATTATTCTGAAAGCCTTGTGCTGGTTGGTCACAACTGTAATCCTAACTACTCTGCATATTTACTCAGGAGCCAGAGATCTGTGGATAACAGTGGAAGCCAATCAGGGCAAAATACATTCATGAGATTATTTTTCAAAATTTCAATGAGCTAGCAAAGGGCCAGGAATGGAGATGTAGCTCATATAGTAGCTCATCAATCTAGAGAGGAAAGGCCTAGCAAGACTTTTAAGCCCTTTTTTCAAACTGTGAGCACACCAACATACATGCAAGTGCATGAGAACATGTGCACGTGCACACACACATTCATTCAAAATGCCTTCATATCAGTGTTTTGCATTAATTTCTTTGTTAACCATATTATCTGAGTAAAATAAAAGAAATAAACTCTTTCATCTCAGAACATTTTCATATTTTTTATTTTAAAAATACTGTACAGAGAGGTCACATTTACATGAGCAAGTAATGAGTACATTTCCTAACAAGCATTGTTACCTCCTCCTTTATTTTCCCTCTACCGTCCCTTCCCGCCAACCTCTACAAGTACACTCCCCTCCCCCGTTCCCCTGCCTAAATTGTAAAGTTCAGTTTTCAAGATAGTGTCTTGTGCATCTCATTGTTTCAATGGGTCAACCTGAATCCATATTTAAGCATTTTGTTTTTTTCCTTCCCCTCCCCAAATTACAGGAGCTTATATACAAGAGGTGGGCACACCAAATTCAAATACAGTGAAAACAGGGGTTATAGCATGGGGGAGGAACATATAAAGAAACAAAAAAATCACATAGCCTGTTATAAGTACGTTAGAACAATAGCAATAAAGAAAAAAAACACTTATGTTCCTATTTGGGGATTGATTTCCCTTAACAACATCTTATCTGGTCATATGTGTATAGATTTTGACCTTTTCTGCTTATCCCAGACATATATTAGCTATTAAAAATTAGGGAAACTCTGGGACCTATGTTTCTTTGGACTTGGCTTACTTCACTTAACAATTTCTTTTTCCAAGTCTTTCCGTTTTCTAACAAATTGGGCGATGCCATTCTTTCTTATGGAGGCATAGAATTTCATTGGTATAAATAGTACATTTTCTTGATCTATTTACCTGATGAGGGGCATCGGGGTTGGTCTTATATCTTAGCTATCTTAAACAATACTGCAATAAATATAATTGTGCTGGTAGTTTTAGTACCGTCTTGTTTGTGATATTTTGGGTAAATGCCCAAAAGTGGGATTGCTGTGTCATAGGGGAGTTCTATGTGGAGTCTTTTGAGGAACCTCCATACTACTTTCCAAAGTGGTTGAACAAGTTTACACTCCCACCAAGAGTGCAGTACAGTTCCCTTGTGGTCACATACCCTCCAGCATCTGTTATTGTAAAAGTATGGAATGGTACAGGAATTTGCCTGTCATACTTGCGCAGGGGCCATTCAAATCTTCTCTGTATCGTTCCAATGTTAGAGTACGTGATGCTGAATAGAGCATAGAACATGTTTTATACATAAAGTGTAATTGATTTTCTTAAACTAGACAATTCAACAAAAAGTAAGTTTAAAACAATTTTCATGAAATTTTAGAGCCATGTACTTCTTACATAAGCACACATTTAAGAATAAAGTCAAGAATGACATGTCAAAAACAAAATAATTCCAGATATTTATTGTTCAAGAGATGTGTAGGTGGAGGAATTCAATTATTCTATACAAGGCACCTGTGATAATGAACACTGCAGCAAGTGTTAAGTTTTGTTAAAAGTTTTAATGGTTTAAATATATTTAATTTTGGGAATTTGCTTATATATGCTAAAACTAGGACTGTTTGGCAGGTAATAAAACTTTTCGATAAAGTATTTAAGATTTATGTTAACAGACATATGCTACTATGTATGTATATTTCAGAGTTTATAGAAACATTACTAATGAGAAGTTGCCAAGTCTTTGTGTAAAGGAGCAGAATAAAGAGTTAAGACTTTGTTAACTACACAGTTTCTGTTAAAACTATAAAGCTTCCTTATTTTATTTTATGTTTTTTAATTTTTGGGGGGTCCAGTCGCGGGGCCTGAACTATGGGCCTGGGCACTCTCCCTCAGCTCTTCAGCTCAAGGCTAGCGCTCTACCACTTGAGCCACAGCGCCACTTCCGGCTTTTTTCTTTTTGCTTATGTGGTGCTGAGGAATCAAACCCAGGGCCTCATGCATTCAAGGCAAGCGCTCTACCACTGAGCTACCTTCCTAGCCCCTGGCTTCCTTATTTTATATGTTAGCGAGGAACAAATGATGATATAAACCATATACAAATGATTAGATGAGCCATAAATAGTAATCTTAGTGGGTAAATTTAAAGATTACTCATAACCTAAAAACCTCTTTTTGAATATCATAATCTTAGCCCATTTTAAATGTACAGGAATATGAGAAAATAGTAAAATCTAATAGTTAGTACCCTTCAAATACTGAAAACACTGATAATTATTTCAGTTTTATTTTAATCATTAATATTTTGTTATTGGTTTTCCTTATTTGTAGCATTGTTTTCCTAGTAATATAATACAACTTTTTGAAAGTCATCAATATGAGGTACTTTGAGAAGGTTACTGGGATGGCCAAACCATTTTTTATAGGGCATATGAATTTACAAAGAGGAAAATTAAGAACAAAATATTAATTTTAAAAATGATTAAGTAGAGTCTGAATCAGGAATGTTGATAAATACCCACACCTAAAATCTTAGCCCTAGGCTGAAGCATTGGTATTAAAGAGTTGAGGCCACAAAAGTGAGAGACTGTGTTTTGTTTTGTTTTATATTTTGATTTTTCTGGTCATGGGGCTTGAACTCTGGGTCCTAGGTGCTCTCCCTCAGCTCCGGGCTAGCCCTACCACTTGAGCCAGAACACACTTCCATCTTTTTCTGCTTATGTCATGCTGAGGAATCAAACCCAGGGCTTCATGCATGCAAGGCAGGCACTCTACCACTGAGCCACCTTCCCAGTACCTGAGAGACTATGTTTTAAAAAAATCATCTAAACAATATTTGCTTTCTTCTTTGGGTTATATAATGAAATATATCAATATCTTTTTATGTCTTTGTGAATTGTCATATTTCTAAAGTTATACTAACTTCAGCCACTTTATCCTTTTCAAAGTGATGAAATATTTCTGAGAGTTTGCTTCTGTGAAGATTGTTTGTGCATTTATATTTTCTTCGGAGTCATTTTTATTTTTATCAAAATAACTTTATATTTCATGTTGATGGCTTATCATACATCAAATACTTCCAAATGTAGATGTAGAGTCTAAAGATAGCAGTATGAATATTCTCATACAGCTCTTGTTTATCTGTTATGCACTTTCAGTATTGTGATATTTCTCTTTCTCTTTCACTCTCTTATTTCCTCTCTTTTTCTTTCATGCTCCATGTCTGGTACTTAGAATTTCTGCTGGTCTACTATTATCCTTCAGAATCCACTGGTGTTGGGGAAACATGATAGAGACCATCAGTTACCCTTGCATTCTTTAAGAGTTATAACAGTGAGTGATGTTATTCTATTCTATTTTAAATGGCAAAACAACAGATCTAGGAATTCCTTTTCACTTTTACTACTATTACAAATTTTATCCCATAGGAATCATTGAGACGATAGGATACTTTTAACCTCTGACCTAAAAGTTCTTTTTCTTTTACAGACTTTTTCTTTTATTATCAGTGAATACATATAATGAAAACAATGCTAACCTATGGAAAGTAGACCGAAGTTATTCAGGGATGAAAAACAAGGTTAATGGGGGAAGTGAGTACAAAAGATGCCTATCATACAACAAAGATCCTCAGAGCAGTTTATCATGTACACTTTGTGAGAATGGCAATATGCTGGGAACTATAGATTAAATCACTGAACAACTGATATATATATATATATATATATATATGCGCACATATATTTATATATGTATATTTATTTGTAAATGAATATATGTGTGTATATGCCTTATATATGTAGACATGCATGTTACTATACACAAAAATACACACATACATATACACATGTATACATGCACACATAGAAAAAGACACATAGCTACAGACAACACAAGTTTCACTACTTGTTGAATATGCCTTAGACAGAATGCTTGGAACCAAATATGTTGAAGAAGTATTTATCTCTAAAAGTTCTTTTACCACTCCTCTTAACTCTTAAAACAGTTTTGACAGATTCGATTTGCAAAATGCAGTACAAGTGATAGCAAGTCACTCGGAAATCTCAGTAAGTAAACCTCATATGGCATCTCCGTGCTCCCCAGGGAATGCTTGTACTTGTAGACACTCTCAACAACCAAAGTAGCAGGAAAATACCCTGGTACAGAATAAAGTTATAAGGCTTTAAATGACATTCTTCCTTGAGCTCTTTTCCAACAGCCAGCATCAATTCCTAAGCAGAAGAGTGAGTCCTCAGAAGATGGGAGCTCAGCTCAACATTTCACCAACCCATTTGAAAAGTCCTATGTGAGGAATACATACTGAGGTCTTGCTTATTTCCTAGCTAAGAAAATAAGAAAAAAATAAAGTATTTTAATGCATTAAAATTTGAGCATAATTTGTAACCTGTCAATAAATGTATAGAACACAATTATAACAAAATGAAAATAATGATGTGCATATGATTTATGTGCTCTTGGACTTAGCGAGTGATTTTAGATGTATCTACACAAGAAGAAGCAGCATAAATCAAGCCAGCATTTTTTCATTGAAGATACAAGGAAAGGATACAGGTTGACCCATTGTAACAATGAGATGTACAAGACACTCTATCAGATGGGGGGGGGGGTGGAGGGAATGGTTGAGGGGGTGTGGAGGGAAGGGATGTTATGGGAAAAACCAAGGAGGGGGTAAAAATGTTCAGTAAGAAATGTACTCATTACCTTATTTATGTAACTGTAAACCCTTTGCACAGGATATTTACAATAAAATATTTATTAAAAAGATACAGGGAAAATTTCTGTACTTATAGGAAGTTGTATTTGTCAAACAATACCAGTAAGGTATTGGTTTTAGGACCACAGGCATATTAAAACTTTTGATGCTCAAATTCTCTACATGAACGCAGTATATTATTTACATTAGAATCTGCCCACAACCTAGTACAGTGTAACTGCAATGAAAACTTTTACTACATTCTATGTTTGTAATGAAAAATAAAATCATATGCACTATCAATTCATACAATTTTTTCAGATAATTTTTTATTGTGAAAATATCGTAAGCAGTGGGTCCAATTACATGTGCAAGGAAATGAGTATATTTCTCATCAAGCTTTTTTGCCTCCTCCTTTGTTTCCCCTTCCCATCCCTTCCCATATCATCCCCCCACTCCCCCTCCCCTTTAATTCCCCCTAGACAAAGTTGTAAAGTTCGTTTTTCGACATAAATCTTGTACACCTCATTGCTGCATTGGGTCCACATATGTTTTTTCCCTTCCCCTCCACAAATTATACCAACATAAAATACAGTGAAAGCAGGGTTATACCTTGTGGAAGGGACATACAAAGCAAGAAAGAAATCATCTTATAACTATGTTAGAAACAATCATAAGAAAGAAAAACATTTGAATCCTTTCTCTGGGGTAGATTTCGTTAAACATTAACATATCTGAACGTTTCCGCTTGTCTCAGACATATACTAGGGATTGCAAGTAAGGGAAACCAAGAGAACTATGTTTCTTTGGGCCTGGATTACTTCACCTAATATACTTTTTCCAATTCTTTCTATTTCCTAACAAATGTCGCAATGTCATTCTTTCTGATGGAGGCATAGAATTCCATTGGGTATATAGACCACATTTTCTTGATCCATTCATCTACTGAGGGGCATCTTGTTTGGTTCAATATCTTAGCTATGGTAAATAATGCTGCAATAAACATAGTTATGATGGTAGCTTTAGTATGGTTTTGTTTGTGATCTTTTGGGTAAATGCCTAAAAGTCTGATGGCTTGGTCATTGGAGAGCTCTATGTAAAGTCTTTGAGAAACATCCATACTAATTTCCAAAGTGGCTGAACAAGTTTACACTCCCACCAACAATGCAGTAAGGTTCCCTTCTGTCCTCATCCCTTCCAGCATCTGTTGTTATTAGAGATCTTGATTATAGACATTTTATCTGGGGTGAGGAGGTATCACAATGTGGTTTTGATTTGCATTTCTTTTCTGGCTAAGGAGGTTGAGCGTTTCTTCATGTGTCTACTGGCCATCCTTCTTTCCTATTCACAGAAGTTTCTATTTAAGTCTTTAGTCCACTTATTTATTGGGAAGTTGTTTCTTTGCGGATTTGTTGTTGGGGGATTTAATTTTTTTGAGATCCAGGTATACTTTAGATATGAGGCCCTTGTTCTTTGTATGGCTAGTGAAGATCTCCCAATCCATGGGCTTTCTATTAATCTTGCTAGCTATGTGTTTGCCATGCAGAAGTTCTGCTATTTAATGCAATCCCATTTGTC